TTTTTTTTTTTTTTTTTTTTTTTTTTTTTTTTACTATTGCTCTGTAGTATAGTTTAAGGTCTGGTACAGTGGTGCTACCTGCTTCACTCTTCCTGCTAAGGATTGCTTTAGCTGTCTATTCTGGGTCTCTTATTTTTCCAGATGAATTTCATGATGGCTTTTTCTTTTTCTATGAGGAATGCCATTAGGATTTTGATTGGAATTGCATTAAATCTGTATAGTGCTTTTGGTAGTATAGTCATTTTGATAATATTGATTCTGCCTATCCAAGAACAAGGTAGATCTTTCCATCTTCTAAGGTCTTCTTTGATTTCTTTCTTTAGGGTTCTGTAGTTTTCATTGTACAGATCTTTCACCTCTTTCGTTAAGTTGATTCCTAAGTACCTTTTTTTTTTAGGTTATTGTAAATGGAGTAGTTTTCCTCATTTCCTTCTCAGAGGATTTGTCATTGATATACAGAAATGCCTTTGTATCCAAAGTACATGTATRAAGACACAAATTGGTGTCAATACACTTTAATACAACCAGAGATATGAAGAATTGTGCTGTGTATGTGTAATTCTAAGTGACTGATCTGGAGACACAGATATAGACTTTCTGCCTAGAATTCTGATAACCTGAAAGACCTTTGCCAGATTTTCTTTGGCTTAAATTTTCATTTCTGAAAACAGAAAAATGCTTATTGTGTCAGGTACTACATAGGCTCTGGAAGTTTAAATGAGGAACAAACTGAACATACATCTTTCTTTCTCTCTGAGAGTCCTGATCATGACACATACAGTCCACACAGTTCAGCAATCTATATGCCAGAATACCATGAGGATGAGAGAAACGCTAAATGAAACAATCAGATTTACTATGGAATGAGACCTATGTCTTATATGGTTCACTTATATGCAAACTGGCTCATATAGATTATCAATAGAACTATAACTTAATAGAAGAGGAAACCCGGTGCGGTGGCATATGCTTATAATCCCAGCAGCTCTGGAGGGAGGCTGAAGCAGGAGGATCACAAGTTCAAAGCCAGCCTCAGCAAAATCGAGATGCTAAGCAACTCAGAGAGACCCTGTTTCTAAATAAAATACAAAACAGGGATGGGATGTGGATCAGTGGTCAAATGCCCCGAATTAAAAAAAGAAAAAAGACGAAGAGGAAGTATTTGCCACATACGGCATATAGTATTATTTTTTTATATAGGAATGCTTGTTTTATATTGACAGATTATGCTTAGTGATCGATCTTACAGCCTACACTAATCCACAGACAGGTTTTAAGTGCTTTTGACTCTCTGTATCTACTTAAGGTTTCTTAACTGAATAGAATGACCCATGAAGATTTCCTATGGTCATTGTACTTTGTCGGTACAAAGGCTAAATCCAAGGCCTGAGGGAGAATGGTTGCTTTGCTCTGACAGCTGTGAAATGACTTCTTAATACACTTCCCAAGATGCCTTTCTTCCAGGGCCATTTCTCTAGCGACACCCAACTCTGCTGACTTCGTAGATCATCTCAGACTCCTGAAATTGATGGGAATAGGGAGAGGGATAAAGGGGAAGAGGAGTGCTCAGTATACAAGCCAGACCACCCCAAGCCAATCAATGAAACCTTCTTTGTTGACCATGGTGTCAGTGATCCCAGTCTGAAATAGCTGAAATGGAAAAATACCATATCTAACATATGCAGCTCTCCTTTGTTTATGGCAGAAAAATATATAGGTTAAGGAAAAGCATTAACAAGACCAAAATGACTAGCTTGATATCGGATAATGAAATCACCAACAAGGCTATAAAGTATGGTGATGAATGGGAAAGCTAC